AAACTTGGGAGATAAAAACAACTTCCATACGTGCTATTTGAGAAAAGCTAAGAAAGCTGTACACCGAACAATTGAAGAGTGGCCTGAATCGAAATTCGACAATTTTGTATCACTTCTGAAGGCAACAAGTGCTACGAACTCTTCATTATTCATTTAATCACTTGACTACTCACTAGTTCATATTATCTGAAAGTTTCGCCACATTTTGAAAGTGGAATGATAAAAAAACAGATAAAAAATACATGAAAGGAAAGATGAAAAAAGAAAGTTTTTTTTCATAATGAGTGGTCAGCTACGTAAACGTGAAATGGTAAACCATTAGCAACGTTCAAGGTAGTCGGGCAAAAAATTAAAATAAGAAAAAGTAACCAATAAGAAGGATTTTAAGAATTCTTGTTCCGAATACTCTTTCCAAATCTGTTGAAGCGGACATAGCAGTCAAAAAATGATTGAGTTTCGAGAAGATTTATTTTTAATGCAGTTTCGTTTTATAGAAGGCTTTCAATCGTTCTCAAAGGACGTTCTGTTCGCTATGGAGTTATAGGATTTCATCGCACACCTGAACTAATGCTTGAACTCGAGTCACCGTTTGCCAACGACAGTCAGAGGGTAAGCAAGCTTCTCTGATGGGAAGCGAAAAGTTCTCACGTCTTTGATTCCGTTTGATGGGCTGAAAAGGGATGAGATGCACATTGTGCTCAGATCAAAACAGCTTTCTCTTTAGCCTAGAACATTTTGAAGTTTTTCGACTAACTGATTCTCTTTGCCTATGGGAAGTAATTTTTGACCCGATTGCCCACTTCATTTGGAACTGCTGTTGGTATGCTGGGAATAATCCTCATCAGTGTATTTCGAACTTCGAACGAGTATCCTTCATTCATCAGGGGTGGAGAAGGTTCAAAAAAAAGAATAGTATTCGCTCTATCTATTCAGTTCTGTTTCTCTATAGAACGTGAATTAATCAAAACTTATTCCATATTTTTGCTTATGACTATTTTGAACTTGTAATAGGTGGCGGATCTAATCTCTGCGCTACGGCCACGCCAATCCACATCGACGTCTGTTGCAAGAGCGTTGGACGAGGCAATGTCGTTGTTCTTCGAATCACGAACGGGAACAGACCGGCGTCAGATTATCATACTGGCCCACGACGGAGTGAATACCGATCTGGTTGCTGAGACTTTAGAAGCCGTGTAAGTTTCCGTGCAGAAGCTTACAATTGATAACGATTATACTCGTTCTTGGAGCTCGAAGGCAACGCCACATACATATATTCATCGCAGGTTTACTGTGCAATGACAGTACCTAAGACTTTCCGTACATACCATGAGGCTATGAAGTTGGTATCATAGGCTGGGTCTGGGCTGTTTTTATAAATCATCTAAAAATCTGTAAAGGCATCCTTGTTTTAAGAGGAATCCACCTAGGACTATGGACTTGGGACAAAGTCATCACCTTCCCGAGTCAGATTCCTTACTTCACTTTATTCGCTTTGTCTTTATGCAGGTCAAATGTTGAGAAACTGGGTGCAGTCATATTCGCTGTAACTGGTAACACAAGAGCAAATGCATTCGCTTTGCTCGGCTATGCTGGATCCAGAGATCGACTATTCGTCTCAGCCGCTGATCGAGCCATATTTCAGGATTCCTTGGATGAGGTTTGGTTCTGCTTCGAGCAAAATTTATTTGTAGTCTTTTTCTTTGCAATTTGATCTTTACTGGTACTTATACTCTCTTCTGATATTCCTGTATAGGGAGGTGTGGGTTTTTGTCCTAATCGTTGTAGCAACGTCAAATAAGGTAGATATGAAAACGAAGAAGAAAAAACAAAGGTCAAATGAGTTGGAAACTCTGGGCTGTAGGAAAGACGAGGGGAAATGGTAACATTTCCTCAACTCAGTTTGACAAAGACAAGGAAAACAAGGAAGGTACAAAAGTATAAATGATGGTGATGCTATATATTTCGGAAGACATTAGAGACAATATACTGATTCCCTTCAGACTCTTGGTGTATGCGAGTCGATAACGTCAGCTGTGACAACGACGTCCAAAAATCTTCGAAGAAGAGTTCATGGAGTGAGAGGACGTCGCGCAAAAGCTGAGAAGAATGTCTTCGTCCCAGGGCAGAAATGCGGCTTCGACAAGGTGAACCTTCAACGTAGCCGTTCACAATAAGTTCATAATCCATATCAGATCGAAGAATAGAGGAATGTAGTAGAGGAGAGTGTTTTGAGGGGAAAATATTCGAAAAGGAAATTCAAGGCGCACCGCTGTTGGAACAAAACTCGAAGTCGTGAGTTGAAAGCTCATCTTCGAAGATGTTCTAGTTGAATTGTAAGAGAATTTATATCTTACATCTTCATTTCTGTAGGCACTTTGATAATCCAGCCATGGTATCTTCCTGCTCACCAAAACCCACTTGGTATCTCAATAAATTTCAATATTAATTCGGGTTTTATACTTCGGTCATGACTCGCCTCTATAAACAGCTGTCTCTATAACCCTTACGGAAAATTGTCCTATTTACAGGTCGACCTCACGCTTGTACTTGACACTTCCGGCTCGGTCTTCAGAGTGTTTGAGGATCAACGTGAAATTGCACTGAACATTCTTGATGAAATACCAGTGGAAGCGTTTTCGGATGCTGTGCAGGTCCGCTTGATTGTTCAATAAATACAATGCAACGGAATAAACAATCAAAATTTTGAGGTGTCAGTGACGCGATTCGCCGCTGGTGCTGATGTGATTTTGCCATTCCTGAAAGGACGTGGAGTTTCTGAAATCAAGGATGCTATAAAAGAAGTGAAATTCACTGGTCAGAATACAAGAATCGCTGGCGCTGTTGAGATAGCCCTCGATGAAATGGAAAGAGCCAGGCGGCGGGATGCCAGACAGGTACCGTGGATAAGAACTGCCACTCTTTGTGAAGGACCGTACTCGCTTCAGAAATAGAAAAGGCATAAATAGAAAATTGTTTCTCATGGTTTTCCCACGAAATCGATTAGCTGTTGCGAAGATGAACTTGTTTGTCAATTCATTCACTATTCCCCATCACTGAAGCCAAGTAATCGTCTTTGATGAACAGTGGTTATTTTGTTCCCGTGGTTTTTTTTTATCTATTTGAAACCATATATTGAACTTTGAGGCAGGTACTTTAAAATTTGGGATTTTTCAGATTTTCGTGTTGATCTCTGATGGTCATGGGCAGGAATACTGGAATGTCGTGCAAGCCACAGGAAAACGCTTACAGGTGGGGTCACTGTTTATTGAAACATTTCTGGACTCGAATTCCTGAGTCGAATCTTATCGAGCCTTTAGGTTTTGTCCTTGAATGAATTCAGTAATCATTCATTGAACCACTTTGAAGTTATTATTTATTTATTTATTTACCTATTTATCTATTTATTTATTTACGCCCAACAATATGCCAATAAACTTTGCGTATATTGAAGGAAAATTCAACAAAGGACAGGTGCTTTAGGAGACAAAAGCTGAGTTATTTGCTGTATCGGCCAGTCAGGACTATAACGAAGCCGAGTTGTTGATTTATATTGGTGACGGGAGTCGAGTGTTTGTCGGTCCGAAATACAATGGGTGCGTATAGTAATCTATCTGTACTTTTCCATTTTAAAAATCCTGAACTCCCAAAGATGAACCGTTACAACCAACTTTATTTGTTCTTTATGATATCAGCTAATTTTAGCAATTTCAGTTTCTTATCAGCTCTCTCGTCCTATGTGATGGATTGCATTTCCAAAGGGGAAAAAAAATCTGCTGCTGTGCTCTCCGGAAAGAACTCTTTGGTATCATATCTATTTTTTGAAAACGAGAACCGATTTAACGAATACTATGTAGCGATTCGCGGTACTATATGGGCTCGAAGTAAATAATCATTACGCGCGAGTAGACTTGCGAAATCATATTGAGTCATTGCTTTTCATTAGTAATTAGCATATTTTTTGTTAAGGACTTCTCTACAACTGAAGAAACCCCGTTAGTGGAAAAAGAGACATCAACGATTGGTGGCTCCATCACGGAGGAGGTGAGGGAAACGACTGAAGAAGACTCACTGGAAGACGGAACGACTGTTACCACAGTCTCGGCAATCGAAGAGACTTCAGTTCCAACAAATACAGAGTTTTCCTCGAACAACGATGAGAGTACGACTGTGAACGACTTGAACAATGATGAGAGTACGACTGTGGACGACAGCTTTTTTTCAACGGGTAAGCTTAACTATTATGTATGCTCAAAATTTCCACGTAAACTTCATAGAAATTGCTCCCTACGGTCATAACCGTTCAACTTCGTCATGGGAGCGTGATTTCTAATAAGGCAATTCTTAATGGGCGTCAGAAAGCTTCTTGATATATCCACTGATTAAATTATGAAAACGTTTTTTCAAACTTTTGTACACTTGCAGATGAGATTATAGATAAAATAGCTGTCTCCACTGAACTGTGATCCCAAAAGATCTATATCTGGAGCATACATAAGTAGGGAAAGAGGCGCAACTCGCACCCAGAAGAATAGATTTCGCTTGAGGTTTTTGTCTGGTAACGGATTGATAGGCTGTTTTCAGAGTTACCCTTTACTTTTGGGTAATACTCAATCGTCTCATGTAGCGAATAATGCATGGTCAGGGAATTTTGGGAGAGGCTAATGATTTGGAAACAGATCCATTTGCTTCATAATTTCAACGGTCGCTGCCTTATTCTTTCCAACTATGTGACTCAAAAGATATGAGAGAGGAACTTGGCCGAAAATCTTCTAGTGATTGTAGCTGTTAGGGTTCTAGATTCAACAAACGCCTAAGAACAACTATTAACATCAAGCTTTCAGCGGAGCCCTTCGATGAATCGAACAATGGTGAAGGTGAAGATGGCAACAGATTTTCCAATGAGTTGGAGACGGGAACGGAGAGCTCGGAGGGCTCTGCAGAGCGCAGGTCAAGACTCAGGGATATCAGTCTGGTAAGGTTCATAGGTTCATAATTCGTTCTAAAATCAACTATCACAAGACATTCTTATGTTGATCGATCATTGATATGGATTGTGGTAAGCTACCTGTGAATTCTTCCTGAAAAGATTTTATGGAAGGTGGTGGCGTAATCCTAGTAAGGAGAAACCGAGTGCGCATGCCCTAAGGCAAGTTTTGACGCATAAAGTTGGCGGCCAGACACCAAACTCATGTGCTCTACATTGTTCTCAAGAGAAGGGATGAAAGAAAATTTAAAAACATGGAATATGATGTAGCCAATAAGCGGAACATATCTGAATTGAATCAGAAGGGCACAGATGTAGATCAATCAGTGTTGGTTGGATATCGTTGGGCGACCGTCTTTCATTGAACGTCTTGCTAGTGGCGTGTCTTTCCCACTTGAGGTCGACTAACAGGATATCATGAGTGTTTATTCCACCTCCTCCCGCTTACTCGGACTGTGTCGATGTGTTCACTTAACCAAGGGAATATAATCTGTTTTAGGCAACGTCCCGAAAGGTACTATAAGTCCGAATAATTCATTTAGGGTTCCTCATCGTGTGAAGTCGACCTTATCTTGATCATCGATCGTTCAGAGAGTGTTGAAGGTGATTTCAAGAAAGAAATCGAGGTTGGCTCAATAAATGTTCTCTTTTTCAATTTCTAAGTTTTTGGAAGTGTAGAACAAAATGTTAAGCTGAGTGTTTTTCTTGTCAAACATGGAGTTGTTTGCTTCAACTTTTCTTTTTTTTCAAATTTTTGTGCTCAAAAGAGCTGATGTCGCAAAGTGAGCTTAAGTTGAGCTGAATAAGTTAGTTAATGATTTTTCAAATGGTTTTTGTTTTCAGCTGGCAGTTCGTTCACTGGAACTGTTTCCCGCTGGCGAGTTTGCTTCAGGTCGCGTTCGAGTTGGGGCTGTCAGCTTTGCAAAAGTGAATTCTGCAATTGGAATTTGCAGCAGTTAACTGCTTCTTATGAATTACATTACAGGATGCGAAACTGGAGTTGGCGTTGGGTCGTTATCAACGGAAAGAGATTGCGAAGGCTCTCGAAGGGATCGTTCACACGGGCGGTACGACATCATCTGTTGAGGGAGCACGTCTTGCTATGCAGGTTCCCATTTTCTTCCTTATGTACACACGGAAACGATCACATTAGAATAATGATTAGCATTCATGGATTAAAGCTTTATGGTAATTTTTAGACATTTTTATGTTATTTAAGCAACTACCAGAAAGAACTTCTGACAGGGATCAACTCGCTCTCTCAGTTCGTTGGTGTAAGGGCGCAGGTCACAGTAATTTGGTGGTATCTAGTTTCAGACGAAAAATGGAAGCGATAGTTCAGAATAGTGTGAAAGTGACTGAGAAAATATGGAAGTCGGCATATTCAGAGATATATAAGTTTGAGAAAAATGTAAAATTAGGAGCTAGACGAGATTGTGACGGCCGGAGTTACATGGAAGTGTCCCTTGAACGAGCCATACAAATGTTTTTCGAATTGTAAGGACTGCAGTAAGCTGCCTGCGTACAAGGTGTGGGTTCCTGTGCGGACGGTGAAAAACCGATGAACGTTGCTAACCTCTGAACTATACACATGTGTACCATTTGAATAAGTCAAGAAACGCTGTAATTTAGCAAGTGATGTCAACACGAAGACCCAAAGCTCGTCTGATTACGCTGCTCTTCACTGACGGTCACAGTCAAGACTACTGGCGTGAACTCATCGAAACCTCAATGTGAGCTGTTTGTAATTTTATTTCTAGATTACCAAGTAACACAAGATCATCCTACTCCTTGGATTTTCCTGTGTTACGTGGTGGCGTAGTAATATCGGGTAACTTTCGGTCCTACATTAATGGAAAGTTCCAGGGAATTTCTTTTAATCTACTGTTGTAGTTGCTGCTACACAAAGCACTGTTTGATTACCAAAAAAGACCCTTTACCAGATGTCTCATTTCAATTTTTTGTATCGCAAGATTTCCTCAACGAGCTATTCAGAGCGAGGTCGATACGACGTTTGTCTGAAGAAAATTCTAAATTCCCTCACTCTAGGTAATTCGTACATGAACGTATGTTTCTGAGCGTGAGAGAGAAAAATGTGGCTGGAAATCTCAGCAGCAGGCGACCCCCTCTGTACTAGTCTTTCCCATGTGGATTAGGAAGCGTTTGTGGGGAGGACTCGCGTAAAATCTTGAACTGCGATACTGACTTGCTGAAAGTATCGATTCCGATTCAGAACTCAAGTCAATCAAACTCAATCAAACCCTTTCAGGAGAATCCGAGATATTCCAAACAGCGTACTTCTAGCAATCACCGCTAGTAAGGAATTCTCTCAGAGCGAGTTACAAGTAGGTGTTTGCAAATAATGCCTTGATAAACTGGAGTATCTTAATCTACTCGTTTTGACTCTCTTTTTTAAAGGTCTGGGCTGGAGAGTCATCCAAGGTGTTCGTTTCAAGCGAGCAGTCCAAGTTCCTCGATGCTATCAACGAAGAGATCAAAAAATGTGGAAAACCCCAGGTTGAGGGAAAGATAGGCGAAGTAGAAAGTATCGTAGAAAAAATAGGAACTGGCAACCGCTCACCAGTCGAGACTTCTACTGAATCCTCTGGAGAAGAGAGCTCTTCAGAAGCTCTTGAAGAAGATGGCTTGGCGGGAAGCACTTCTGCGACTGTCGAGGTGATTTATTTATTATAATTGTTTGCCAACACACATGCATTTTCTGAAATGCAATTTTGGGAGAGTCTTTCGACGTTGTTGTGATTGAGCTATTCAGGATTTTGTCGACAGTAGCACTACTGCTGAATCAACGCTCGCTGTGCTGGAAGCCATGGAAGCTGAGACCACGACTCGTCCACAGATTATCGTGTCGGCTGAACAGTTTTCTGTGACTTCCAGGATTTTACAGATCGACAGCCCTGAAACATCTACATCATTCACAGATTCAGTTGTCGAAACAGCTTCATCAGATTCGGACGTGGAAGCCAGTGGCAGTGAAGGTGTGTACAGCCTTGATACTTAGTACTCGGCTCCTTCTATGTTTAACTTGACCATTCACAGAAGACGGATCAGGGATAGATGACGTAGACGAAAGACGAGCACACGGAATCCGTACAATCAGCGACGTTTTGAAAATTTCTGAGGAGAAAGGACGTAGTAAGATTCTTAAGAAATTGTTTATTTGTTCCTTCACGCTCAGCTGGATCCTCTGATACTCAAATATTCGAACCCAAGTTCATTAGGGTCATGTAGGGCTATTTCGCTATGGTCATTCCTTGGTAGCATCTACATAGTGTCGTGTTGGAGCAACTAAAAAAGGAACAAAGAGAAAGTATAAAAAAGGTTGAAGCCTGAAGATAGAGGCTACTCGGAAAGGAGAACATGCCTCACTAAAAGAAAGAACTGACTGATAGAAAAAGGGGAAACAAGCAAGTAGGTTGCATTAACCCTTGGTCCGAAACGCGTAGATAGGTAGCAGCTCTGGGTCTTGCTGACGACAACTGAGCCCGATGCGATCAAATTCGTCCTGGACCCTAGGCGAGAATCTATACCTAGAGGGACCTCAGGTGGTAGGGTTGATCGTATGCAGGCTCTTCAAATTGCTGAAACACATAAAACCCAAACCACAGCATCACTAGAAGCCTACATCACTCAGTCCACTTCCTCCTTCGAGCATTTCTGTTTTCTCTTCGAGAAACCGCCTGAAAGGGGCAGAATAGGGGCGATAAGATCCTCTGCAACCTGCTGTGGTCAAGTACAACCGCCAGCCTGTAGGCGTGCTAAACGGCCTGGCCTGAACACGACGAGTCTCTGGGTGTGACGCAGTAGGAGCGAATTTGTCGCGTCGTGGTGAGAGTGACGTCGCACGCGAGGGAATATAGCAGAGTGCAACAGCAAGTAAGCAAACCAGGAACAAAAGAACTAACAGTAGAATCATGCCAACAGTGATAATCGTATAGCGATTGAGCTGTATGAAAAACGCTAGAACTGTTATAATGAGGCAAATGGTTCGCGACAGCCGCGTGCGGCGGATCGATTACACAAGATTGTTCTTACTGCCCGTCTCCCCGAGTCTCCAGAATGGATGCATTCCGTCAGGGGTCAAGAAATTAGTAGAAGCAGTAAAATGCATTTGTGGCGGTGAATGACTTCTCTTTCGACGTCTTATTTCCTCACGTTGGCAAAAGCATCAAAATAAAAGCAGGGTTCTGCCATTCATACTCGCAATCGTAAACCTACCAACACCAACTGTCTCATCAGGTCTTGCTGACCGCCTATTTTCAGTTGAACTCATCCTATCTATTTCTATTTTAGCATCTCTGTTTGCATCGGTGCCTTGTTCAACAGACTTGATGTTTGTGGTGGACACCTCAACCAGTGTCGAGGCAGAATTTCATCAACAGTTGCAGCTCGCCGTTGACTTGGTGATGAGCATTCATGGGTATTTGTTCAGTGGAAGAGGTCATCAGATCCTTTTTTCCTGCAGGTGAAGCGACTACCTGCCGATGATTTCGAGCATCGCATACGTGTCGGAGTGGTAGTGTTCAATGCGAAAGCGAGGGTGGCTCTTTCCATGGGAGAGTCTCGTTCCAGGTTTGTAACTGAAGAATTTCAAAAAGAATTGCTTCATGTTTATTTCTCTCTGTTGTTGACGAATCTCCCTCTTCATTTGTTGAACTCCCACTCACAGAGATATTTCCTCCTTTCGTTCTCTGTACTCCTGGTGGAGAACGCGCTGACTTCAAGAATTTAGTGTCCCTCAAATTTAGTGGTCTTACCACTCACTTACAAAGTGAACCCATGTGCAGCGCTACACCCTTTGATCCTTCGTTAAATGAGGAAGAACAAAATTCCTTTGGACTCTAATCAATTCCTTTTTTGTAATATGTCCTCTACTTTGAATTTTACTGAAAACGCTCGAATGAAATGCGGGGTTCAGCGGATATAAAAGTCAATCCTTTTGTCTTCTCATACAGGTCTATCGATTGACTTCGACATACACATGCACACATAGGCAGATACACGGGGTTGTATTGACATTGCCCAGAAATTTCCTTTCTCTTACTTGCTTGCTTACTTTATTACATGCTGAACCCATGTGGACATTCACGAGCTGCAGAACAAAAGAAAAAACCCAAGAAAAAATAAATGTGAATCATATAAAACATCAAAAGAAAACATTAAAGTTTGAATAGGGCTTTCTTTTTTTCTTCTGCGTAATGACTACAGAATTTGAGATAGTTTTGTGATAGCAAGTTTTGGATTCTATTTCAGATCTGCGCTTCTGGATTCGTTACTGAATCTGCGCTATTCTGGTGGAAGCACATCAGTGGCCAGTGGAGTCAATACAGCTCTCGACGAAATAGAACTGTACCACAGGAACGATGCTCGGTAAAAAACAATGAAGAAGAACTAATCTTTTTTCTGCTAACGTACTCGTACTCGACTTAGAATTGTGGGGAGCCCTCGGCTTCCTTAAACCCTAGCAGTTTTAGAAACATTCAACTTGCAGAGTTGTTATATGCTGTTTGCTCCCCAACATAAATCGCAATTTCTGGATTTTTTCTTGCAATCTTGTGATTCTGTTTTTATTCTGTGCCTGTTTAGTTTACTGGTGGTGCTGTTATCAGATGGTAACAGTCAAGATCATTGGGATGAAGTTATTCGATCATCAAACCGACTTCGTACCACAGGAGCAGAGGTGTACGCGGTGACGATAAGCAAAAACTATATGTTCAGGTTTTGTTTACGTTTACCTTTCGTTCTTCATGTTTTTTTTTTGTTTTTCCTTAAGCATGTAGGAAAAGCGTGCCTTCTGAACAACAAAAAATTTGTTGGGTAGGTGCTTGCTGTTACGGGGCAAAAGTAAAGCAAAAAATGAAGAAGAGGATTCTCCACATCCTTTTTGAATAACTTATGAAATTGATCATTGATGTGATCTATGCTATCTATGGCCGGTTCCTAATGTTACGCAAGCTTTTTGATGTTTGATGCAGAAACTGTCATGTCTCTTGCAGTGGCGCAACGAGCTTCCATACAACTCCCACTGGGGAGTCAACCTTGAAAAAAGGCGGCGCAATTTGTTGGAATTCCAACAGTGAAAATTTTCGAAGTGGTCGGAGTGTAATACGTCTCTGACTTTTTCAAGAAGAAATGGGGTTTATATTGAATGTCAAATTGACCACATTTAGTCAACAGCACCTCACCTTTTCCAAACCAGTGACTTCGCCTTGACCATTAGTGTACCTGAAACAGAGTGTACCACTCTATGTACCCAGAAGTGAATATTCTATTTTGATTGATACACAATCTTTTATAGAATCTAGAATATTACAGAAAAATTCCAGTTTGCAAAAGCGCTACTAACGCTACTAATTTTACAATCGAATTGATATTTCCCGCGGTTGTTGAAAGTAACGACGCTTTCTATAATTCACTTGTGCTTACTTTGGTCTGCTTCGGGTTTTCTGGGATAAGCTGTGGGATCATACTTTCAGAGAGCTCGAACTATATGCTGGTGATAAATTGAGGGTCTATATCGATGCCAGAGTCAGGCAATTCCTTGACGAAACCGAAAATGGAGTGACCCATTGCGGTCGTTCTTCTGAGGCCTGTTTTCCTTTATGTTGAGTGTCGAACAATTCAAATTGAAGTATATTATATATTTTACAGCCGGCGTCTCCAGTTGTTCTACAAGCTCCAAAGTAAGTGCAACGTAGCAAGCGAAGTTGCAGTCCTGCAGAGGTCCCTTAAACTACCCATTGTAGGTCCTGTTCTTCACTTGTGGACGTGCTGATTTTGCTAGACATTTCAACACCTCCAGCTAGCTTTTATCAAGAAAAACAACTGGCCATCGATTTACTCAAAGCCCTGCCAGCGAGCGTTTTTGAGGTTTGGATTTTCAATATCGTTTTGATAATTAGTCATCTTGTCATTGATATCCGAAGTTTTAGAGACGTCTGGCAGTCTCCATCATAACATTTGCGGCGAATTCAAGCATAATTCTACCGCTTGGCGTCATGCCAAAGGACGAGATTGTCTTCGAATTGGAACGTGTGGCGAACGGAACCGGTCCAGCCAGTCTCACCAGGGCCACCGCCTCGACGATCGCGGTAGGTTACGAACAGGACCCAGTGAATTCGATTGTCTCTGTTTTTTTTTTCAAGCAGCATTCCAGAGCGATGCAAAGCTGTAGGCCTTAGTTTTAGGACTTGAAACAGTCCATTGTCAGATTCTTAGAGGGTTCCAGCACTTTCACCATTATGTGAGCCTGAAGCGGATAAATGTCTCAGTAGGAAATATAAGCTCCTCGAAGCCCCTTCCGCATTCTCAATAGACGTGGATTTCGAACACTTCTGATGTTTCAGGAAATAAAATCTCAGCGCAGAAAGAGCTCTCGTGTTGTCGTAATCATCGTGTCGAATGGAAACGGTGGCGAAGAAAAATGGAGAAATGTTCAGGTATTGAGATATTCTTGGAAGTCTGAAAACTCAAAATCATGGCCGCTGATTCTTACCGTGCCCGTCCAACATCGGTAGGGGTAGTTTTAAGAAATTTCATTCATTATCTTAGATGTTTTGGTCCATAGTTTCCCCAGAATTCAAATTCGGTCAGAACTCGTCTGTCTGGGTTTGTCATTGCCCAGATGGGCAACTCTCTTGCTTACCTATGTTTCGTGATATCCCGAGAAGTCTTTTGGCTCTGCTCATCTGGTTTATTTGTTACTCTTCTGAAGCATCTCGCTGCTTTGAATCCAGTTTCCAGACTTCTCTCGGACCTTTTTTAGTGCCCCTCCTTTGTCGTGCGCTACTCGAGGACTTTGGCCTCATAGCCTAAGCTATTTTGCTGACATTTATGGGGTTGTCAGATGAAAAACGTTTAGGAAAGCTGTATTTATAGCACTTTTCGTACCTGCAATGTGTTATGATTTTGGTCAAAATCATTTTGGCAACATTTTTGGCCTGAGAAATTTTTCAGAGATCTTGGACTTTACAAAAATCTGAAATAGTTTCTCTTGGGTTTCTGCTGATCACTCTTTACAGTTCTGACGGCGACGGGATTGCTTGTATCTTTTTCGATTGCATAGTTGTGTAATGTTATGGGTATGCGGATTCAGAGATCTTCTGCATCACTTCGTGCCTCTGGAGCTGAGGTGTATGCTGTTGCACTGACGGAGACAGCAAATTTCGAAAAGCTCAAAGCCTACACAGGCACTGAAAGTAATCTCTATCTAGCTGAAAAATCGGACAGATTCATCCAGGTCAGCTATTTCATTTGCTGCTCCTCTTCCTAAAGAAGATTTCTTAGCTGTAACATTTACAGGAAATCGGTAATTCAATACTCTCTTGTGGACCATCAGCTGACGGAGTGAACAAGTAAGTGCTTTTGTTCATTACAGATACTTCGCTGACGTGAGCGAAGCTCTGAGATGTCGAAGTAATGGAAGTCGAATGCAGGGCGCATCTCAGAAACGAGAAGATTGATCAAATTTAGAAGAGTCCATCCTTTATTCATCATCGCTCCCATTTTGGTATGCGCCCACGCATTCATGATCCATTTGAAACCGTAGTGGGGTTTTAGTGCACATTTGGCCTATGCGATGGTCCACCAGTGTTCAAGCCACTGCTTCTGTCTTCCCAAGCTAACCTGCTAGCAACTAAACGTTCGAGAGAATGGGATTGACTTGAGAGACACAGTTCTCAATGAGAATGGTGCCTGAATTTTCTACCTGGGATGAACCTGCGACTCTCAAGTATAGCACTAGTGGCGCTGTCGTGTCAAAAAACGGCCCAAAAAGAGCGTAAGGAGGGCCCCAAATACGACTTCGCCGCCGTGCACTCTCGAAAGTTCTCATGGCATTGTAGAGGCTGTAGAGGCTGTACCATTCGTACCGGGACAATCACATCGCACGCAAGGAGCTTGCTTCAGCCAGCTGTACGCAGTGGCATACACATTCGAACAGCTCGTCCAAGTACCCCTTCCATGCAAGTTTCGTGGCCTCATTCTCGTCCAAACTTTGATCTCACTATTTTTGAGCCTTATACTATTTCTCCTGATACTCCCATTTTCACGTTTTTTTTCGCCACTTTCGTATTTGAAAAGAACGTGAACGTAAAAATGTTTTTAACCATTTTCTGAGTATTGGAAAGATGCATACAAAAGATTACGGTAGATTAGAGGTTTGCACTAAGAAAACGCTGAAAACGAACAGTGATTGAAAATTCCCCAATGTAGTAGAATGAGGACGATTTCGTAGCGCAAATAATTCCAACAATTGGGTGAAACTTGTGACGTTATAGTACTAATTGAGCCTAGTCATCGTATCTACAGCAAAAAAGTCGTCTGGTATGTTCGAAAGGCTGGTGGGCTTGCTAATTTATTTCAGATTAGCGAAAGCATCTTTTTCGAAAGGATACTCCAAAAAAGAATAAACTAGAAATTTTAGTGTCGAGAGCGATGATGCGATTGCTCAGGCGGGCACTCTTGTCAAATTCACATCTGATACTCGGAGGCGAAGGTAATTTTGTGCCTGATACTATATACAATACAGTTATAATCAACTATTTATTATTTCTCGATTGAGCCTGAAGTTTCTCCTGAATAAGAGTTGACGATTTAAGATGTGCTTACGACCGTATGGATCTACAAATCATCCTAGATGCTTCATCTTCGAGACGAGAGGTAGATGTTCTTAGGCTTTTACTCTATAGAATTTCTTCTTATGAAGGATTTCTGGTAGACAAGGAACGCAAAACTCGCAGCAAAGGAGTTTAGTGATGGATCGATCTATCGTAACGCTTTCGCCAGTTGAAAGAATTACATCCCATTACCTTTGTATTTGCTGGAAATTGTGCAATCTACATATGCGCACTTCCTTTGACGTCTAGCCCTGATAGGATCATTCCAAAAATTGGGAGGGAGACGAGGTCCCTCTTCGCTTACCGGTCTTGTGCTGGCAGCTGAGCTGCCTTCTCTCAATTCATCGATCCCTACTCGGAGCTTTTGTGAGCGAGTATATACCTGCAATTACCCATTTGAAAGGGCTAATCGTATAAAGCTCCACACGGTAACGAGTAGAATATTCCAAAATCCAAGCTCTGAGGTACAGAAGATATTCGGTGAGTGAATGAACTAGGGACATGAAATTATCGAGTTTTTGCAATTCATCAAACTTTTCCTAATCTACCAAAATTGAATAAAAAGTCGAATTATGTTTTCATGTTTATCAATGACCCTTTGCTCTTGATGACGGACGATCATCGTAGATTTCACTTGGCTTCGCTAAGCCGATTCTCAGTAATCTTAGAAGTAAGTTAAACGAGATCACCCAGGGGCGAAAACGTTGACAGCCAGCTGGCTGCGATGTTGTGCAATTGTCGGTTTAGCGAGCTTGATAGGCGTGTGGAATAAACCACGATTATGATATATTTTTAAAGAATCGTTTCAGGTGTTTGAGCACCAACGTGAGTTGGCGCTGTCGTTGATTGAACGACTGCCGATCTCTGCTGATGGTACTAATGTTGCTGTGGGAATCGTCAGCTTCACTGCCACACCCATAATTAGACTCTCGTTAGGACTAGGGAGAGATAAAGCGGTAATCCGGACTACTTACAATTTTTCAATGTTGTTTGATTTTTTGCTAGCTTTTTCTTGAAAATTTTTTACAAATTTCTTTTTGTCGTATTAGAATGGAATTCTAATGTAGAATATCGCTAATTCTTATATTTAAACATGGCTGTTCTTCAAATCCGACTTCTTACTGCATAGTTTTTCTTACATTAAATGGGGGGAATTTTGGTTCATCCATAAGTCCTTAGACTCTATTCGCCCAACATACATAGCTCTTGTCCATATGAGATAAAAATAAATGAAATAAATAAAAATAAACAATGAAAATAAATAAAGGATAAAGGATAAAGTTTTTGGCGCTAATAAACCCCTTCTGAAGGGTGCGCCCCGTACTCGACATCCATTCAGAATCGTGGTGACGTAATGAGTGCGTATGTGGCCCATACGATGACGTACATACGGTGGCCAGCCGATGTACAAGTCGGTGCTTCAATCCTCCCAGACAAATTTAGCCAGTTAACCGACCCCGGAGGGCTGGAAGGCTTGGCTGGCCTAGGCGAATATCGATCCGAGATTCGAACCTGTGACCATGCATGTGGGAAGTGCACCAATTGTCACTACATCCCAAAAACGCCTAATATAGACACGAATTCTTATGAATGCATGAGCAAAAGCAAGATGGCGAACCGTTCTATCTCATTCTCAGTGACTGTGTAAGCGTTGGTAGGCCATTTTTTATCGGTGGCATTGAAGCAAAATTAATCGTATCAAATCTATCTGGTACACATCTATAAATGGAAAACTTATTGGGAGCGTAAGATCAGCGAATGAACAGTCAAACCAGTGAATGTTTAGGTCAATAGTTTATCATAGTATGGACGACTACCGAAGCATCTTCAATGATAACATAATAATTTGATTTGCTCGATTCCCTTGTTTACTTTAACATGGTCATTGTTCGTCTGGGTTCGAGACAATAAGCAAATTATTTCAAGAAACTTATTCATGAGCATTATCCAGCTGTGTTCCAAGTGACTTGATGTCAAATTTAGGCAATTCGTTCTACCATTGAATCGATTGAGTATCGCGGTGGCTCCACGCTAACAGCCCAGGCGGTCGATCTCAGCATCGACGATCTACTTCGTGGCCGCCGCCCCGATGCGATCCAGGTTTGGGCTGCTTTCATTGAATTCTCCTTGCCCTCTAGCGTGATTTACTAAATTCTTCGTCAAAATTCGAAATTAGGAGTTTGGTGAAATACTGTCGTTAACTGTTTTTTTTNTTTTTTTTCAATTTTTCGCTCATTTACCATTCCATAGGTTAGTTATTCGACTTCGTTACTTTCCAAGTTATCAGTTGGCCTCTTGAGTTGAACGCAAAATCTTCAATGAAAAGCATTTGAACTCGATAGTTTCATGTGGATATATATATATATCCTCTTCTAATGTGATTTCCACGAACTATAATACTATTATGGTTTCTTTGAATTGGGGCCTTCACATCCATATCCGTTTTTTCCGGAGAGCTTCAACAATGAAGCTATCTATTTCATCGAGTACTTCATCTGTTTTTGCAGTTGAAGTACTGAGTGAAAATAGTTCACGTTAGTTTTAATTTACCTTTCTCAGGTTGGAAAGCGGAACTGTGATGGAGGACAGTACATCGATGGCGGAAAAAGCTAGAAAATCCGCTTTATTCGCCACCGGTGCACTGAGGTATTGTAATGGGGGTTGTATGATATCACCGTGACGAAAACGGCATGGAAGTGTATTCGGACGAGATTTTATTTGTTGGAATGAAGTAAATAGCTGACAACATTGAGTCAAAAATGTCCAAGGTGGCTTAGAAAGACTGTTTCCACTGTTGCCTTGGGTCATGAGAAGTTGTTTAAATTTCAAACAATAGTGTCCCTTGTAAATGGTGAAGCCTCGTAAGAACTCGTCCGTTTTTAGATGTGGCATACAGCCGATATAGCCTTTGGCCCTCATAACGAACTCTAGGCCGTTTCCGATCTGACAGGGCCACATAGTCTGGGAGCCAGAGATTGGCGCTGGAGAGTATCTTGAAATCACTTTAATCGTAAGCTGTGTTTCAGAGCCGGTCACGGTGATATTAAAGAACTATTGGACTAATTTAATTTCCCATTTAGCGGCTGAAGAATTAAGCTATATCCCATTGATAGCTTTTTTTTCAAATGCCCTTCGAAATATATACAGGAGACGAAATACCGGGCAAACTTATCATACAGAATTCTTCAGGTGGTCGTGTTGATGAATGATGGCTTCTCACAAGACGAATGGGATCGTGTACTCTCAAGCAGCGGACGTCTTGCTTCCACGAAATCTGAGCTATTTGGAGTAGCACTTGGCAATGAGGTTTCCCAATTTTTAGTTCCCGTTCATGACTTTGACAAACTTAGCTCATTAACAAGTATTATGCTCAAGTCGAAGTTTTGCATTTGGAAACTACCAGGAAAGCCTGTGTTCCCTCTGAGCGGTGTGTTACTGCGGTCATTTGCACAGGTGAATTAGTAGAGTTGCGGGTGGGACCTTAGGTAGTCATGTTGTTGAGTTACGAGCTTCCCGAAATCAAGCATAAAAGGTGTTCTTCGATAAATTCCTGATCAGAAAGAGAATTTGTGAAATAAGGTAGCACTATGGTATCTCATCGCTCTATCTGTTGCAAAGCCTATAAAACTGTCCCCACTATTAATTAGGGAAGAACTTCGAGAGTATTTTGCATTCTTCATTTGAAAATAAGATAGTGCTTCGGGCAATTTTTGCGGCTGCTCTTCTGATAAGGCCTCACAACGTTGGTACATTTGTAGGCAAAACTTTTTGTAATGTAAATAAAACAACACTAGTCGGCTGTCTTTCAGATTCTTCATTCTTCGCAGAATGAAGGCTTCTAATTTTTAGGTCGACTTACGAGAACTGGAGCGATATATTGGCCGTGATGATCGAATCTATAGGGATGGATCAACGGAGAAGTCAGTCATAGCTTTCGGTCATAGATTCCTTTTCGAGATAATCAAAATCAGACAATCTCATGTCTTCATTTTTACTTAAACCTTTGGAAGATAAGGAAATATGCGTAGGCCCAAGGATGCCCGTTTTTAGGTACGTGAAAAAGCATCTCATGATGTCCATCTTCCTCTTATCACGCATTTATAGTGCAGTGTTCAACCCTATTCCTTTAAAACTCGTTTCCAACTATTCCAAACCGAAAATCTTCTTATTGACTATTCTTTTTTTTGAGCAACCCATATATTTTTAGAAAGGTGCCGGGTCGCCCGGCTTATGTAAGGCCTCATTGCTTACTTCGTTAGAAAATGTAGTTAGGGGGAGGCATCACCTTTATCCAAAACTGAGGGCCAAAGGGCAGAGAAGGAGTGTAGTCGACCATATCTCTGCTCACACATTTATTTGTTTATTTATTTATCAACGGACACGTTGTAAGCATGTGAAATGAAGGATAACAACACGACCTTTGAAAAAAGGATTGGGAACAACAACAAGATCCTAAACTGAACCTAACTACGTCAAAACAACTTATTAATAGATTTCTTGAAAGTACAGTAACTTGGGGGGTGGGGGGATGAAATTACAACGTAAAAGAGAATTAAAGCTTGGCCTAACTGTTACTGAAGAATGCGACTTACTTTGGGTTCTTGCTGACATGGTTGAGACCTTCGCTGAGGAACCTCGCTTATTAGAAAACACAACTGTGAAAAATTCAGAAATCTCAGCAATCGTTGTGCCATTTAAACTTTTGTATGCCATGTCTGGGTTTTCGATACCGCTGCCTCTATCGTTATCATAAGTTTCACGGAAGGACAGACAGACAAACCGACAAGCACACAAACCGACATACCGACAAATAGACAAACCTATAGACCGACACAACAATCTACCGCTTTATAAATAGGAGAAATAATCGAAATGGATCAGATACGTGTATCGTGTAAACATCACTGAGAAAGTAGCGTGGAAGTCAAAGAGGTATGCGGCTCCGCATTCTCCTTTTCGACACTGTTGTCCTTCCTCCTTTGACGTGCTCCTCGGTGATGCTTGAATTTAACGAAAGTCGGTTAAACGTCAGCGTCATTCATTCGTCATTCTGCGCGAAGAACGATGCGTCGGAATTTCCTGACACACGCATGTGCAAAAGGGAATCGGAATTTCGAGCTCCGTTAACGAACGGAGATCAGGAACGCCGTTGCTCACGCCACTGAATCGAAGATCGGAGAAGGGGGGGGGGGGGGGGGGCGGACAACTTATGCGGTATTGTGATGACCGTAAAGTAGGGCGGTTACTAACTACATAGATCTTCCAGACGAACAGCACGTCGGCCCCCAGTGCGACAGTCAGTCAGACGTTTTCATGAAAGCTCGAAACGAACGCTGCTATGCCTCGTGCCCCTCCAGCGAGGACGATCCATTCTTCTTTGCCATGGTTCCGTCAACCATGGACTTTGCGCGAGCCAGGGTAGTCCACCGACAAGGTAGGTGTTCGAGGGAAAAATGGACCTACGGGTTACTTGAACTCGGTCCCTTTCACCCAGAGTATTTCTCCGCCTTCTAACCTTCGCTGTCAGGGACGCAAGTTCACGTAGTCACTTAACCGAAGAATGAAGACGTTACTGGTGCCCACTCGAGAAAATCGATGAGCGACGGGACAGAACGTGACACAGATGATACAGGTGATCAAAATAGAGGACGGGGGAGATGTAGTGACGACTGGCACACTATCACATGTGCTTGGTTAGAGTTCCCACTCCGGATCGGTACTCGGTCAGGCCAATCAACCATCCCATCCCCTAGTCTCGTTCGGAAGGATGAGAACCCCGACCTTTACATCGACTGGACACCGTCAGTTATTGTATAAGTTATATACGCATCCGAAAACTACACTACGATTGCAAAAGGAAGTGGATTGCGGGGGTGAAATCTGCTAACAGGGTTCAGTAGTGCCAAGAGACTTTATCCTCTCAGCTAAAGTAGGAAGAAGTTTATTCATCTATGAATTTTCAGAAAGATCTAGAATAGATGTCTCATTAATTTGTAGTTCAGGTTTTTAAATGATGTAGTCTCGCTGCTGAAAGGTGAAAAGGATTGTATCGAAACGAAGGTCCACAGAGAGGTACAGAGAATGAGTCTTAACTTATATATTAATTTGTCAGTGTCATGTCATTTTCGAATAGTGTTATTCTTGTAATTCAGAGTACTATTCCACAACAGCATTCACCCTCGGACGAGTGTGCCAAGCCGGGTTTGGACCTCGTCGTCATCTTTGATAACACAGAAAAAAACGTTCGCAAACGTGACTCATCGATCAACTCGAATCGATATCTCCTGCTGGATGTGCTCGGTTAGAGAATTCCTTTTTATTACCAACATGATATTAGCAGGGCAAAAGCCCACCACATTTTGTCACTTCCTTGACCGGTTATTGTTAGGCTTTTGTTGCGCACATCAGTCAAAGACACAGGTTTACGACAGGAAAAACCTCTACTAAACCTTATGCTTCATTGGGCGGTCATTTTGCTTAATCGAAAACCTTTCAGGCTCGCTGAAATCCGGTGCTCGTGTTCGTGTTTCGGTAGTCTCTTTTGGTGATACGCCAAAGATTACACTGGACTTCACAGACATTTCCGAAAGGGATAGAATTTTTGCTGAGGTATGCTCTCAAGCAACTGGTCAAATAGTAAACTGAATCGGAGCTGAATTACAAAATTCAAGGTATATCGTCAAACTAGAGCCGACAAGTTATCAAATCTGCATTATTTATTACCAGTCGGGTCGCATGGCGTACGCCGGGCCTCATTCCTTATTTGTACGAAGTATGTAGTTAGAAAGTATAGTGAAAGGGTGGGGTTCTAGCGCTCACTGTCAAAAAGAGGTCTCCCATCTACATATATTATCACCTCCGATTTTCGTATTTACACATAGCATGATGCCAGTACGAACCAAAATCACAGTTTTGAAGTATCCACTCTACTCCACATTACTCATTTCACTCCATAGTACTCACTTCACTCTCCACAGTACTCACTCTTCTCCATTAACCTACTTACCAAGGTACAGGTTCGTATAAAGGAAGGAAATGAGGAATAGAGCTGGGTTCTCCATAATACTACCTTTAACGTAAATGTAAGGTTTTGCGGACTGACAGGCCACATGCAGGCCCTTGTTCTCAGAAAAGTCAAGCCACGGTGCAGTGGAAAGTACTTNTTAGTTTAGTCCTTACATGTTTCCCTTTTATCCGTTTATCTCTCGTATTTATAAAGCAGTAACTTTGTGTGTCGGTTTGTCGGTTTGTCGGTCTGTCGGTCCGGTCCCCAAAACCTTACGATTACGATAAAAATAGTGATATGGAAAACTCAGCTCTATTCCTCATTTCCTTCTTATATATGGAGCTGTAACGTGGCAGGTAGGTTAATGGAGAAGCGTGAGTACTGTGGAGTGAAGTGAGCAGTATGGAGTGAAGTAGATACTTCGAAACTGTGATTTCAACTCGTACTGGCATCGTGCTATGTGTAACCAAACAAAAATCGGAGGTGATAATGTAGTTGGGAGACATTTTTTTTGACGTTGAGCGCTAGATCCCCACCCGTTCACTGTAATTTCTAACTGTTAGGTTGTATGGTAAGTTTTTGCCGTGTCTACACACGCGCCATATCAAATTTTGGCGGCTATCAAATCAGACCAATCCACGCGTTGTGCACCTTAGGTGAGCCATTGATTGCTCTTTCTGTCAGAGCACTTTTCACGAAATTTTGTAAAGATTTTAAGATCTTCAAGAATTTTTTCCAAGATGGATAAGACTGCTTTTCGAACGGTTTTACTTAACGAGCTTATGCTATGTGGAAGTGCGAAGCAGGCAGCCATAAACATCAACGTTGCATGGGAAAAAGGCTCAGCATCGTAGCGAACGGTTCGTCACTGGTTTTAGAATTGACAAACGAAGACGAGTAAATGAAAGGCAAAGAGCGAGTTGGTCGACCGTCGCTAGTTGATCACGATGATTTGCCAAGAGCAGACGGAAAAGATCAACGTCAACCATTGACGTACTGCCAATCATATGGGCGTTTCCCATACAAACGTGATTGATCATCTCAAGCAGCTTGGATTAGTGAGGAAACTTGGCAACTGAGTGCCACAACAACTTACGGAACAGCATCAATTGACTCGCCTGAAATTTCAAGTTCCTTGCTGGGGAGGAATGATATTGAACCGTTTCTTCGTCGTATTGCACCGTGTGATTAGAAAGAATCGTATATGACATTAGAAAACATGGATAGGTGTAGATGAGCCTCCAGAACCCTTTCCCAAACCAATTCCACGCGTCAAGAAGACAATGGTCGCAGTTTGCTGGTCTTGCCAAGGATTGATCCACTACTCGTTTATTCGTCCAATCAAACCATTTCTGAATAGTCTTACTGTGATTAAATTCACGTGGTGTACATAAACCTAGGGCGGACGCAGCCAGCACTAGTGAATCGAATGCTTTTGCACGACAGCGATCGACCGCATGTGTCACAAGTCGTCTTCCAGAAGTTGAACGAGCTACGGATCGAACCTCTCCTTAATCCGCCTTACTCATCAGACCTGTCACCAACTGACTTCCATTTATTCGAAGATCTGGACAACTTGTCAAAGGATCGAGAAATCAAAAATCGAAGCGGCTTGAAGCTGCCTTTCTCGAATTCTTGGAATACACATCACCGAAATTTCATGAGAACGGAATAAGCAAGCTTGTGCCATCTTGGCAAAGATGTGTAGAATCGAATGGGCTTATATTGTATGAAAATGTTCACTTTGTTATGAGTTACGGTTTTTTAAAAACTAGCTGTCAAAACGGCAAGAACTCTCCTCACAACCTAATACATACTTTGTATAAACAAGGAGCGATGCTCGGCGTAAGCCGTGCGACTCGAATGGTTATCATAAAATTCACTTAGATTTTGAGTAGTATTTAGCTTGAGGTATCATGGAGGAAGTACATTTTGTGATTATCCTACTTTGGTCTGTAAACTTTTCGCTCATTGAGGAAATTCATTTTTCAGATCGAATCTATTAGAGCAGTCCGTACACAACCGTCATACGCCGAAGCGATATCTCTAGCGCTTGCAAAAATACAAAACAAGGACCGGTGAGGCAATTTTCGCTTGGTATCCTTTCAAGAAAACCCACCAAAATGTTACCTTTTGATATACCACCGCATTGCCAGTTTTGACTTCTTACAGTCTTTTTTTTTGTTGCGATTGGAACTTCCTATCTCCTCCCTCCCTATGTCCATATGTCATTTCTACTCGCTACAAATTACATGTAGGTCAGAAACTCCATCCTAAGAAGAAGAAACCATAGCAAAAAGCTGTATTTCATTTCTCAAAGGTATGGCCACTTTGGGAAGAATAAATGGCGAACAGAGAGCGCGTTTGGACAAGGCAACGGAACCAGCTTTGTTTCGACGTTTTGTTTCCTTATAGACTTCCGTTTCTTGAGGTTTCGTGCGTTGAACTTATTGTGATTCGAGTGAACGGCGATGAGTACCTTCTCCAGACAAAAACTTCAAATTTTTTCCGACCATCCCACTTATTCTGACTCGCGCCTCAGGAATGTCAGAATAAATATAATGCTCATCTAAGTGCAAGGTGAAACGAATCACCTGAAATGATTTGTAGTTGGAATCTTCATCATTTCTTCCTATCAAGCTACTGACTGTTAATCAAACTGCATTATCTCTCTCATATGAGGCGCTGGGTGAGCATTGTTGGTCATAGCTTTGATTTGGGGAAGCTACGGCTTCAAACAATATTTTTTCACGAAATATTAGACGTGGCAGTTGTGTTCACTGCTTGAAGGCACGGTTCACTATAATCCTAATATATCCAGCCTAAATAAAACGATGGAGGTTATGGTGTGGATTAGCGCAAAAATGGCGGAGAAAAAGCGAAAATTGGGTATTTGAAGTAGCACAAGGCATGAAAAAATAGCCTAAGGCTTCAAAAATAGAGGGAAAGGGGATTGAACGAAATCGCCACCTGTAGCCGTTTTGGTGTCTCTCACATAAGCGTACTAATCGTCGGTGTACCAGTACTCTATGTCTGTGTGTCTATATGAACGGCCACTTTTGGATAAGTACGTTGACCAATCCGGTTTCGGACCCACTATTTGTCGAAGTCGTTTTCGACTTGACATTGCCCCGCGGGCGTTTTCGACTTGACATTGCCTCCCTCGAAGGGGGAGGAGGAGGGGAGGAGGAAGTATGTGGTCACGGCCCTATCTTCACAGGTGCAACTAGGGAAGAATCTCTGAAGCCATTTTCATCGTTATCTGTGCCTTTGAAGGCAGTTTCGTTTCCATTGACGCATTTTCCGCCTTTTCCGCTCTTTACTTTAGAAAGGCTCTTAGATCATGCCCAGTAATTCCTTCTATCGTGAGCGGTTTGATCAAGACTTCTGTGGCAGTAAAACTGAGTAATAATTGTAATCAGTACTGAATCTTCTTTTAGTGCTGATGCCCAAACAGCTTTGGTGATTCTTGGAAATGGTAATAGCAAAGATACAGACTCTGTGAGAGATACTGCATCTTCACGGATTCGTCAGGTAAAGTTTTCGTTTGTGAGTCAGTTTTCCTGAGTTTTTTTTTTGCTCCTACTTTCAATTTTTCCTCTCAGATGTTTCATATTACTTCCTGCTTGGGTTTCTCAACTTATTCTACGCTTTACAATAGCTTACGTATAATAGTTGTTTCCCTGAGCTTCATTGCTTTGATCTTCTCATGTCTGTTGGCTATGCGAAGCTCTTGTACTTGTCTCAATCTCTTTTGGGTGACGATTCGGACATAAGCCTTCCTTCAGATCCACTGAGTTATGAGCTCATTCATAGTTACAACAGCATAGACCATTAAATAACAGCTTAATAAGAATAACAGTTATTCATACGAGAGTTGAACAGCCGGGTTGGGGATAGAATGGGACATACCGGTTGATCTCGGGTTAATATACGTGCAGTGGTAAAGAGATCAGGCTTCATCACGCTTCTCTACTGAGTGCACGTCCTGTATAAAGCTCATTGCCTCTTTCACCTCCTTCTTGTTGTTAGTCGGTGGGTTTAATTCCCTCATTTCTGAAGCTTCCTTTGTTTTCCTTTCGACCAGATCTTCCAATTTTCTCTGCAAAATGGAAGCGAAAAGTTGCGGTGGCTTTCGGCGAAGTGTACAATGCATCGAGAAAGGGTTTTCGGTATAACGCAGTGGACTGCTCGAAGCTCTTAAATGTTCGTCCATCCTCTTGTGTAGCGGCCTTGAAGTTCCTCCTATGTGAAATTCGTTATAAGCATGACATTCTACTTTGTATACCACACACTTTTCTTGGCACATATTCTCCACATATTTTACAGTTGGTCAACTCACCAAGTTAATATATGTTGTGAACATGAGGTGTGCCAAGAATAATGTGTCGTATACAAAGTAGTATGCCTTGCTTGTAACGAATTTTGCTTAGGAGAAATTTCAAATTTCAAGGCCGCTACACAAAAGGATGGACGACCATCGGAGAGCTTTGCGCAGTACACAACACTACACCGAAAATTCTTCTTCCAGACATCGTACGCTTCGCCAACCCCAGAAAAATTCACCCCAACTTTCCATTTCCATCCTTCAGAAGGAATATCTAGTCGAAAGTAAAATAAGGAAAGCGTTAGAAATAAGGAAACTGAATCCACCAATGAACAGCAAGGAGGAGATGAAAGTGGCAATGAGCTTCATATCAATACAGGACATGCACCTGGTAGGGAAGCGTGATGAAGGCCTCATCTCTTTACTACTGTACGTATATTAAACCGAGACCTATTGGTACGTCCCATTCCACCCCCAACCCATCGGCTGTTCAACTCTCCTATGAGGAACAGTTATTCCTATTAGGCTTTTTATGGTCCATGTTGTTGCAACTATAAATGAGCTTATAATTCAGTGAAGCTGAAGAAGGGCTATGCCCAAGAGGTTGCTAACCACTAAAGATCGAGACAAAGACAAGGGCTTCACATAGCCAATAGACACAATTTTTCAATAGCTCTTGTTTGCTTCCAACTCAATCTGAGTTGAAACTGCGTTGTGAATTGCGTGGCGACAAATCTATACCGTTGCCGACCTTTTTGACATCACCATTAGTCGAGCTCCAGAAAATTTGAGTAGTTCCTAAAATATTAGCCTTTTTAGACGCCAAGTGTGACCTGTTTTGCCGTCGACTCATCGCCGTCGACAAACGTCTCCACTCTGGAGCAGTTCACCGGTTCACCGGATCGTGTCTATCCTTATGAAAGAACCGCCGAATTCGCAAAAGTGATTAAACGGCTGGTTAACTCAGTGGAGAATGCAAAATGCAAGGTGAATTTGATTCATTCGACGACATTCGCTGGGGTCTTCGCTTTCCTATCTAGAACATCTTTTCCCTTTCATACCGTTTGAATTCAGATTTAAAAGTTAGTCTCATGCAAAACTCTAGGTTTTTTGTGTTGACTATTCATGCACCGGCAGACGCCACAAAAGACTTTCACAAGGGATGGCCGGAGTGTTAATACAAAAAAGTCTGAATTGTGAGGTTTGGGCTAGTGATGTAGGCGTGGGGTGGTGGTTCCCACCGTGGAATTACTTTCGATGATTTCTTCGACTGAATCAATTCTCTATTCAAAATTATCTATCAGAAACCATTAAGAATCCTGCTTTTAGGACTTCCTTTCAGTGCATCGTTATATTCTTCTCGGCTTTCTTGCTCCTCTTTATTTCTACTTTCTGTGATTTGCTTATGAGCTAATACCGTTGAAGCGGCTAAAGATAAAAATTGCTCGAGTACAGAAAGCCTCGGGTAGAAGCGCTCTTAGAAGTTACCATTAGACTTACTTTTACTCTATATTTAATCATATGAAAAGTTTTGTGGCACGAGATCTGCTAAGGCTTCACAGCTCGAACGCTATTCTTATATCAAAAGAGAAAATCCGTCCTGGGAACTTGAAAAACCAGAAATTCGGAATTTTTAGCCAGGAGGACTTCGTGGACGTGTTCATGCTGCAGCTGGAGTAGAGGTCCGTGAAGCTGTATACAGCACACCGGAACCGTCAAAGTCAAAGGCCGCTGTTCAACGAGACGCACTCGTAGAGTCTTTGAATGTGGACAAGATCAATGAAGGAAAGGTAGGAAAACTGAAGGCTTAATTAAGAAAAGGTCTAGGATATCTTTTCAACATAAATCAGTGACCCTATACCATACGTGGTGCTGTCAATTGGAAATCGGCCTAGATTGGGCGTCGCAAGGGCTCCGAGATTGTATCGGCCGTATATCATCAGCCCACACGCCACCCATTTCACACTCCCGATGACCCACCACATCAATGCGATGGAAGGGTGAAACGTGTTGGCGTGCCTCCTTCAAACGCTTATCTAATATAAGTGATTCTGCTTTTATTCAATTTATATTATTTTATCATTTGGGCATTCCATGAACATGGACAACGGCATGGGAGAAGAACTGGTGAGACAGCAGAAGGCAGTGGGGTGGCCTTCAGATTTCTTTCATAACCCGGCTAAAAATTCACCGGCCATTCAGCTGTCTTGGAACTTCGCGCTAATCTGTTCGATTCACAAGTTCTTTCTTCCTACGAGCCATTTTGCATCGAAGACATGGGTGACCAGTGCACCCACGTCAAGGGCTTTGAGCGTAAACCACAGTGCACTAGAGCGACGTTTGTCGAGATTCAGCCTGCTCACTCAATATCAGGCCAGGTCTAAGCAGCTCCAATTCGCGCAGAACGTCTCGCCGTCGCGACTCGGTGGACTACATGAACAACACCAAATATTGATGGGCAGGTCACAACATGAGAAAAGATAGTGACACATGGATGAAAAGAGCAATCGAGTGGGTCCCCATAGGATTTCTGCGATCTAAGGGAGGGACAAGATGGGTGTATGTGCTCGTCGGTCACATGAAACAGTTGTGAATGTAGCTAAACGAAACTTCACATCGACTTCGTTAGACTCTGCGTCAACCGTGGATGGCGACGGGTAAAGACAGAAACTATTGGTTTGTTGGTGCTGCTTGCACCTGAATGAAGATGAGCGATTATTCGGCGTGTAGAAACTGCACAATGGCTGCTTTCATAGTCCACGATTTGGCCCGCGAGCGAGCGATCGAGCAATCGGGGCGGCGCTTGGCCCTTGTTTACAAGTGAATCTTGGTCGATATCGCGGGCAAGCGCCGCCCCAATCGCTAAATCGCTCGCTCGATCGCGGGCTAAATCGTGGACTATGAAAGCAGCCCATCCGGAAGAATAACTATGCTCGAATTTCAAACAGCCAGTCGGATCTGGAAACAGCGGAAGACAGTTTTCTACATTTTTGTCTCGAATGCATTCAGCTTTTTACGCAATTGCAACAAGTGAAATCTTGTGCGAACAGCCCTTCCTAATGTTTCTGTCATCATACATAATCTCATACAACCTCTAGTTCCACCTCTTCTAGGGGCTTATTTTTTAGTGAGTTCGGCGGATTTTTTTGCTTTCTTCGCCACCAGTGTCCTATTCTCTACCAACACTTCCGCTCTCCAACCCGAAAAAGGGTAGCACAAAATTATTGTGCATTGTGCCTTCAGAGGCTTGTGTATTTTTAAAAGGAGTACCATCAGCTAAACTAATGTTTCAGCTTGTACTCCGAAAGAAGGTTGTGACAAGTACAGCTGTCACAACTACACCGACAGCAACCACAGCGGCCTCTACACCTTCAACTACGACACCATCTTCGATTACAACTAGGCGTTCAATATCCTCTCGACGCCCTTCGACCCCGGAACCATCTTCGGCTACTGACGTCCTTACAAAAATTCAGCGTCGAACCACCACGTCGCAACAGTCGACAACCACTCAGCCTTCAACTACCTCCAGCAAGCGGTGAGAAAGTCATTCTTGAAAACCGCACTTGAATTCTAGGTTCTTAAGAACTCGTCAACCTACCAGTCTCGTCCCACCAACGGAAGTAACTACACGGACAACAAGAGCTCGCACTACAACCACCACTGCGTCTACGTATGTTGTGCTCTTTTTTCAGTCCTTATCATCCACTATGTGATGACTTATACATTGTCTGGAGGGAAATGAAGGATTCAAAAGAGGACAGAACGGATCAGAAATAGTACAAAGCTTTTTCGTTCTATGTGCACCGGATGGTCGCAATTCGGAGGATGGTTCGTAGCTGGCTTTGTAGGCAACTTTTAGTATTACAATCCTTTTAGTATTACAATCCAAAGACTTAGAATTTCTTACATCGAAACCTCGAAGATTCAATTATTTTAAGAGCGACCTGTTGAAACTGGTGATCCCTGCCGTATTCCGTTATCTGAAATGGCTCACGTCGTATCAACCCAAAAGTATAAAAGTACCAGAATGAAAAAACACATTCGTTTTTTCCAGAACACCACGAGCTCTTACTTCGCCGTCATTCCCCCAATATTTTCCCAGAAAAACTACGGATGAGCCAGAAGAACCTTCTACTACCTTCAAGCCGGGTAAATCGTTGCCAGTTCCCCAAAACATTAGAACTGCTTGCTTACATGCATTCAGGCTGTCTACTTGACTTGATACTCGTCTTGGATTCATCCGGCAGCGTGGAAGAGACGTTTCTTCGAGAGAAAGAACTAGCCGCCGGTATTGTTTCTCGACTCAGAGTCGGACCAAACAATGCCAGGGTTAGCAACGGTTGTGTTGATAATATCATATTTCCAGATTTACTCTTCTTCACTTGACTGTGTTTACATTTTCAGGTGTCAATTATCAAGTTCGCTGGTACACAGCAGGTGAAAACGGTCTGGTCGTTCGCCAATTTGCAAAGTAGAGGAAAAATTCTTCGAGTACTGAATGGGATACCGTTTACCTCTGGAACAACTGCTATTCACTCTGCACTGTTGAAGGTAATACGTGGTCAAAGCATGAATCAGCTGGTCCCAGTGAATTACCATTTAAAACTGTTTGCTTCCTTTACGTTCAAATTTCATTTCTCGGAGAACGAGAGTTAAGAACAAAACGTAGTCTTCGTCTTTCTAAGTTTCCCAAATCTGAACTCAATATTACACGCGGTGAGAATTTCTCATCGCACAGTAGCTGGTTCAGGGACAAGTGCTCAAACTGTAATCTGTATTTTTATTTGTGATATATGTTCTTAACATTCCTTCCTAGAAAGGTGGAGGTAATGTTTCACATTAATTTCTTTGCTGAAAGGATCGCTATTGCATGAAGATAATATGCATTACATTTGACGGAATGCCCAAAATAAGTGATCTTCATAGGTCACCAAGTTTTTCCTCAAGTTCGTCTCATTCTCACTAACTTATTCTGCTGTTTTATGATGAACAGGTATCTTGCAACTTGCTTACTCGAACCATACAGTCTTTTGCTGGTAGATTTGATCATCTAAAAACGCATTTCTGAGCTTCCAAATTCCCTCAAGTCATCGGGATAGGCCTCATTCTCCTGAACCTGAGAAAGCCCCAGAACGGTGGTGCTGGATAGGGTCGCTCGGGAGAGGCTGCTAAAAACTCGAAGTCAAATTGGACCACAAAAACTTGAAGGGCCAAGATGGCAATATGTATCTCTAATGCTCGGACGCTTGCATCGTAAGCTAGTATGAAAGGTTTGATTATGCAAAGAAGGTCAGGTATAACGTAATTGGACTGACTGAGACAAGGAGGTATCACTCGTTGCATTTCAGCTGCAAGACTAAAGAAGAACTGTCACTTGGAACATGCGGCAGCGGAGGCGATTCCTTACCAATGCGCGCTTATCCATGAATATCCACTCGCACGATTAGAATCAAGAATTGACGATAAGAATCGGTCTTTCGTGATCGGAATACATGGCTCACTAGTTGCTCTAACAATACTCGTTGCCTACACATCAACCTGAAGCTTCGAAAAAACAGGCTGGAGCCGTTTCATATGGAGCTGGAAAAGCTGTTTAGAGAGCACTACTTTCGTGGTAATCGTTTCCAACACCAAGGTTGACTCATACGAACGGCTAAAGAGAGACATATCGAGACTAGCGGACGTAATAGAATAAGCAGCGTAATGTTCGAGTTTATCATGTCGACCCACACCACCCATGTTAATTCGCAACTGCAGAGGATCCCGCATTTGTGATGGACCGTAAGGTAGACAGTTTATAATAATAGAACAGGTTTCATCATCTTTATCTGAAAGTTTTGCCTGGCTGACATCGCTGTTGTTCCGAGGTCTGCGCGGGATGGACTATTGTCTCCTTTACGCTCGATTCTGTTTTTCAGGGGTGGATAGAATGTGCAAAACTCCCGAGAAGAACCGAAGTCGCAAGACCGTAACCAATTGAGATCACATTGCTTTCCTTCCGAGTTCAGGAAGGTATCGCTATGGGCAACATCGTTGAGGGGTATAAGCGGCTCATTTCACATTTCAGCGATAGTGCTAGGAAAGCAGAGAGTCTTAAGTTGCCAAAAGATGTCTTCTCCGAGGCTCTCGAGCTGATACGTTAGCGTAGAATCGCGCGAGCTACAGGCAATCCTCAACTAATGTCCGAACTTGCGAAGCGATGTGAGAAGAGATGAAGGAAGATTTGAAGAGAGCTGTTCTGGCATAGCCGATACTGAAAGAGCACTAGGAGAGCCCGTAGGAGCTTCGCCAAATACAAGACCAAAATGACATCCCTTTGCCCTCCCGATGAAACAGTTACTGCATCTCGAAGGCCAACTTAGAAATCCATCTGCGATTTCTTCTCTAATTCCTTCGGCAACCTCTGCCTGTCTACCTACCATCTTGTTGTTATGCAAAGGGATATGTCGTCCCTCCAGTTCTCTCTGCCAAAATTTGAATTGCCATCACGTCAGTGACGGTAGTACGGCGTCCGATCCCGATAGGATCAAACCTGAACATCTGAAGAGCCTTCCACGAATATCGTCAGACCTCTGGCGGTTTGATCTTCACGGTGTACTTGTCGGATGGAAAGCGCTCACGTCGAGGAAATCTAGTAATACATTGTTGATGTATAAGAGGGAAGATCCATATTATATTGACAGATATCGCCCAACCCACGTGCTGCCTTTAATCTTTAGGCTTCTCGCACGAGTCACTCTTAGCAGGCCCACAACTCATCGAAGTGTTGCAGAATAGAGGATGTCTTTATTTGACGTTCTTCGTTTTGATGGCCTTTGATACCGTCAAGACATGAGCGCTAATTGAAGTTAGGATACCTTTGTGAGCTGCACGATACTTTCACGATCAGTACTTCACCAGTCCATAAGGAAATCGTTGTCAGCTGAAAGGAGGCGAAACTATGCCATGCCCATGTTGCACGAGTGGGCAAGTACAAGAGTTCGGTCCATGTGGGCAGTATGGCCAATGAAAACCCTAGGTTTATTCGTTTTAGATACAATGGCGTGAGGTATATATTTTGAAGTGCACAGTATTTAATAGATAGAAGGTTAACTTCTCTTACAATTAGTGTTGATTTATCCCTTTTGAACTGCATCCACGTGCTCAATCTTCGCTCAGAATCGTGGTGGCATTCGAATAGTCACCCGTTCAGCCAGTGTTCAAATCAGTGCCACTATCCTCTCAAACGATCTAGAATGTATTAATAAGTTCCTGATCGAATCGGTAAAGCGCTCGGCTAGACCATGCTACAGAGATACTGAATTTGACCTTCGATCACACGTGCAGGGGTATTTCCTCGTCTCCCCTATTGTCGGTCAGATAATTTGGGTAATTTAAGTTTTCCCTAATTTCGAATTTTTCAGGCCCTCGCTGAATACACAACCGATCATGGTGCTCGTCCAGGTCATGCACGACCAGTGGCTATCATCTTCACCGACGGCTATGCTCAGAAATCCACATCCGAAGAAGCTGCCATGTTAAGGGCAGTCATACCGGACACGTACGCAATCGCCATCAACCACAGTGTACGTATATTTGTTTTGATTATTTGCCAGAAATTGCTTTTTGCTTAGTCCTATGTATGTGAAATTCTATAGTTCATGTATAGTGCAATGATGGGGGATAAAAGGGAGACGACCATTCACTGAGCGAAATATTCGGTGATGGAAGGTGTACCAAGTTAAGTTGGAAGACCTTGGACGGAATATTCAGGAAACCGGTTTTGTAAATGTCCAAACACTGATCCACCGGATTTGGAGCAACACTGAAGACATGGCAGCGCGGTTCTACAGGATCGCCAAAAATCATGGGCGCCTATTCATTGCAATATATCGCATTTGAAGCTGCTAGGCTGGGAATGACAATAAAATCTATATGCAGTCGTTTGCTCACATCATGTGCAACAACAAACTCCATTCCTTCCCGGCTAAGACTCAAACTGGTATTGCAAATCCGACAACCTCTTCTAATATGGTACCATTCGAGGGAGTAAAGGTTGTTGAGATAGAGATAAGAGGGTAGCCATTCCTGCAGGCTAATGAAGTCGGGCAGCGGCGTTTGCACGCATTTGGACGGGCTTGGCTCTGTGGACTGGAGTACCTTCTGTTGGAAGAACCACGGGCTGATAAAGGAAGCGGAGTTGGATCAAGGCTTTGATACGTCCATTAGTATGCTTTTTAAGCACACCTATTTGTTGAGGCGCCGGCATTAGATTGGCTGTGCTTACCACAAAACTGTACGAGCGGCTAAGCGACTCAAGATTGAGGGAACTTCTATCTTACGGAAATATTTGAGCTCATGTCTTAAAGTCTACAACGGATGCCGTCTTCATAGCTAGGCAAGCGGGGAGAGATATCAGGAAAAGCGTAGACTCGGCAACCTGAACATTCTCGACCGCCACCCACGATTCTCCTCCGGAGAGCACTCTCTGAAAGAAGTCCTGCGGGTAACTGGAGACCACTCTTCGTTGATGTAATCGCTCTGATAGCGGGAACTAGATAAGAACTTCAGCGCAAGCTATAGAAATGGCAGAAGATGTCGGATGGTTTCCTACTAAACTTGGTCCGAGCTCCTCAGCTCCAAGGAGTGTGCAGTGAGCAGAGCCAAAACCTGGGGAATGCCTTACCCGCTTACGGTAGCTCGGACCAAGTGTAAAGCCAGTCTGGTACAAGCTACCGTCAGCTGTAAAGTCATATGTGAAGTGGAGTGTCCACTGGTGTACTCTACAATCTGCGTTGCTCCAGGATTCTCCAAGGGAAGGTATTCGGGAAAGTGATGAGTCTCACGATGCTCTACAGCAGTGAGTGATGGTCTGTGTGCATGAAGTATGAAATTCTAAACTCAACTTCATTCCGCCAACACGAGAATGCTCAGTAATATAGTCGTTTGAAACCCAGATGAAGCGATCAGTAGACCAAAAAAGAGGTGGCGAGCTTGATCGAGAAGCACTTGCCGGAGAAGAAGGAGCCTCAATCCATAGCTAGGCTGCCCCTGTTTCATGAGCATTCAAGGAAAAAAGATAAATATTCTTATTTACCTTTATGTGAGTAACCCAAGACATGTAAAGAATAACAAAGTCTCCATTAAAACTGAGCTCTTATTTTCCTTTCAATGTTGTCTTCACTGTTTCAGTACCCAATTTCTCGCACTGAACTCGAAGTTATCGTTGGCTCACCGGAACGCGTCTTCACTGACTCTAATATCGGCAAATTCCATGATATACTCGAGACGATTGCTAGGGATTGCATTGTTGATTAGGAACTGTTAGGTTGTGGCTAAAGATAGTTCGGTAGACCTGAATGCTATAGTACAAGACTCGCACTGATTTGGAAAGCACAACACGAAAGGATTTATGGAAAATCAGTAGTTAGCTCTTTCAAAAAGACCGCGATCAATCTCAGAGCTAGAGAAACAGTGACAATCGTTCGTGACTGCTTCTCTGCGCTTGTTCGAATTGATTTTTTGACGATCTAAGCCTCAATTATTTCGCCTCTCTGGTAAGGGTCGTTAGTCGTAGACATGTATTTCATCACATTTCTTAAGGAATGCCTTAAGCTACCTGGGCATGTTTAGCTGTTACGAAGCGCCACCATAGTTCACCCCGTCGCAGATTGAGACAACAGTTTCGGTTAATGAATGCCGATGTAATTTATAAATTACCATACAATTCTTTTCACTAGTTTTGAGTTGAGGTGTCACCCAACAACATTTCTTGCCCATTCACTTTATTTGTTGTCCCATGTGTATGACCACCGCGGCCGCATTGAGACCGTGTTCTCGGTTGTTATACATTGCGATTACTCTTGAATTCCTGATTTAGTTCTTGCGACTATCTATACTTGTAAGTTTCCACAGAAACCTTGAGTCGCTACAAAAGAACAGCTGTAAGAAGGGGCGGGCAGGCGGGGTCTCGGTATTGTAGGAGATAAGAACACGGTGCTCAAATAGCACAAGTACGGGCCCGAGCCCCGCGACCGAAATTTCGTCGGTATCTCGTCAACCTGTGGAACAGCTGTCAATTTTTATTACTTCTCCTCACGCCTACCGGTGTATGTATGTATATGCACGAATTTCGTTGTGAAGTCGTATTTCTGTACGCCAGATATTTATTACATTTTAATTGTGGTCACATAAATAGAAGGTAAAACAGTTTGGTTTTCTTTACATGACTTAGATTAACATAGACAACGAACACGAAACAGTGGTTAGAGCGAGAGCGGCGTAGAAAGCTGGAGATGCAAAGATGATTATGCCCATATCTGGAATGGAAGACTTTTGAAACCAGGTTTGACTTCCTTTATTTCTATGACTTAACCAGCATTATGTGGTAAAATTGAGGATGGTTCGAGAACTCTGCCATGGATTTTGTTCAAACTCATCACAAAACAGATCCAAACATTACAGATGATTTGTATTGTTCTTCATCTGACAGTGAAGCATAGCCACTCCTCGCTGATTTCCAGCGCATTATTTTCCATACCGGCCCCATTTTCAGAGAAGAACTTCATATTTAACAGCAAGCTGTAATTCTTGAGAGGATAGACCTAATCTACAGAATAGCAAAGCCGCACGTTATACTTAAACCGTTCTTTTCTCTTCGTTTCGGCGATAAATAAGCGCGCACGTGTATGAATTTTGAAGGATCTTTTCTAGAGACTCACCCTGATAGTGCAATCCCAACTGGCAGAACATATTGCGGTCCCATCAGGACTCGTACGTAGACAGCTGATGCGATTCTCATGGCCGTAAAGGACGGAATGACGAACACACTTAAGTGAATCCCACACACCAACGCGGTAGTCACCATAACCGGCAAAAAGAAGACGACCTTAAAATTCAGAAGTGCGATTTCAGTGATGGAGTCACTAGCAGTTAAGCAGGTTCAAACGCTTACCGCTTACACTAAAGTCCACTCCGTTGACAGGGAAAAGTATAGATTCCTTTTCATAGACACATACTTGACGATCGGCTCTCAGATCAAATAAACGACACTGAATTAAAAGAAATTGTTCAAGGCAGCCTAGTTGCCTTCAGGATAACAGTCCATTAAGTGCTGGTATGCGAAATATAATAGAAGCAAAAGTACAAAAAACAGCTGTGGTTACCGTCGCATCATCTGAACCGGTTGCAAACGCATCACCATTTGGATGGAAGCGGACCGTGTTGATGTCTGCCTCGTGGCCTTCGAAGGACTTGAAAAGAAAATTTGTATTTATCTGAGTTTTCATAGGATAAACAGGCATAAGACAAGATTTTGCGTTCGAATAAAGGTAGAGGTGTAAGATTTGAAAAGAAAAACAAATCGAACCGGGTTTGGGTGTCCTGATGGGGCGGGGCAAAAAATTAATCAACGAGAGTCAAAAAAAAAACATTTTAATGACAAATTTACCTGTACACATTGCCCTGTTCGAATGTCCCAAACGAGCGAATGCTTGTCTGCACCTGCAGAGATGAATACGTTACCAGTGTCACATTTTGGCACGTCGATCGCGAAAACGTCTCCAGTATGGCCATGAAAGTTTTGTATCATCTGAAATGGTCTGCACTGAACACTTGCCCGCATTTCCTAGGCCCAACGACGATCGACCTAAAGCTTGCGATATCGCAGATAAAGTAGTGTGACATACTTCACCTACCTCCCAATCAAGATTAGCACTTATATTCAAATTTTGGGTCACAGGAAAGGGACAGAAGATGAAGAAAAGTGAATACAACATTGGAGAAAGATTTCTCTAGACACTGCAGGGAGTGGCGAAACCACCGACTGCTAATACATAAAGTTAGCACGTATAGAACACAGAAAAAAAATGGAACTTTAAGACTTGATAGTTATTTTAACTAGGCCACACACCTGTCCACTCTCCACATCCCATATAGCACACGTTGAATCACCGCTGCCAGTGAGTAATAAGTTATCTGAGCGGAGGAACATGCAACAGCTCATATAACTTGTGTGAGTCGCTACACTACGTTTCTTTTGCAAAATGTCGTCTTCGAACGACAACGGGAAAACACTGCACTTATTATCTAATCCTCTGAAACAAACTATTTTTAAGCGGAATCTTCAATGGAGCACAAATCTCGATATAAACGTGAGTAGATTACTTGAACCAACCCGCAAGCTATCAATTGACTGCTTGGTGAGTAGGCGCACGCCATCACCCACGTCGTTGGCATTGTCAATGCATGCTCCTTATTCGTTGTAAAACCATCCCACACAATAACTTTTCCGTCCTGAGAAAAATTACAAGGTGAAAGTAGGTCTTATAATGCAGAAATATCTCGAAATGAGGTACTAGAAATGGCCGTATATTCACAAGAGGGAGCAGATTTTATCACACTATCTTTAATATTACATTGATACGTCTTTGAGCGAATATCCGAAGAGCAAACCTGGGACGAGCTAACTATATGTCTCTTGTCGAGGGACCAATCCATACATAGCACTTTACCGGCATGTCCTTTTAAAATCCGTCTTTGCTTGATACCTAGATTTGGCAGTGGATCCAGACGTTCAGCGGCCTGTTGAACTGAAAAGAAAGAAAAATCATCCAGTCTTCAGCAAACATTTTATTCCACATTCAACAATATTGTTATACAATATTTCAACATTTTACTTGTTCAAATTCCCTACTTGGAATATCGTTGAGTTTCTGACGTTCCTGGTCGAGTTTTTTTCGTAACTCTTCGGCTTCTTTAGCCAGAATTTCGATCTGATCTCCTTGCCTGCAAGCGGCGTAAATCAACCCATTCTATTTCTACTTCAGATATCTTATTCTAAGGATTATCACTCGTACTTTTGCCTGAAAAAAAAGCAAAGAGGCAAAGGATGCTTATTTGCAGTGATAAAGTTTGCAAAAAGCCAAGCGATTCCCAGTTTAGAAGTTTTGCCATCGACAGTGTAGAAAAAGCAGTAGAAAAACAAGATAAACTGACAACAAAAAGTAACTTTCATGGAAAAAGGTCACATTAAATTAAATGGTAATCTCAAGATACCTGGCGGCTGCATCCGCTGGACCGATAGGGGCTGCATTCTCAGGCATTTTTGTGTCTTTGGACGTCGATGGTTTATCTTCAGTGCTCATCCGAAAACCTTCGATTCAACTCAACTCATCCCTGCTTTTCTGAAAAAAAACTCCAGTAAAAAAAACATAACTGTCATGGATCTATCGTATTGAAAATGATGAATGAGCGATGAAAGGAAGAGAATTAAATTTCTAAATAGCATCGTCCGAGTGACGCAGATGATTTATGCTCTAGAACGGCAATCAGCGCCTGGAAAAGATATTAGAATAAGAGTACATATAACCTTCATTGAAAACTCTCGATGAGCAGATCCATGAGATGTGACCAACCGGTTGGTTTTGACCCCTACAATCCGATCGTTATTTCTACAAGCACCGCCTTTGGCGACCTCCACGGCGTTATTTTAGTCCATCACCATCGACAGGCGGCTGTCCTTAAACTTCCGAGCACTGCGCGATATCAAAAGGAATTCTGTCGAGCGCATACTCATTGGTACAATTGGACGACCGTCGAAAAGGACCGGCAACTTGACTTTTGTAGAAGAAAAAGTAATCCCAAACCTCTCTAGCATCATAGTGATGCTGGTACAGAAAGTTCTTGTGTGCTAGAAAAGAACGCTGGATACTAAGGTGAGCCATGAGGAAATATCGTTCTAGCTCTTCTGTCGTTTATTTGAATTGATTTACTAATTCGCGTACTCTAGAGTTTGACTGAACGACGTGAAACGTCTACTCGTCTTGTTGTGATGCTATTATGTACAACATGGAAAGTTTATAGATCGTGAGTTGGTTTAGCTATACGAGGAGTAGGAAGTCGAACTTTTGAGAGATGGGCATTTCCAACAAGCGCATTTGGCAACCATGGCAAGTCAAGCGAACGCTATTCTGAGCAGAGCGTGCGCATACCTAGTCTATGCAAAAAGCAGAAGCGGTTTTACTTTGATTCCAGCGAAAAGATTCATTTTCATGAGCAAAGCAATACCAATTGTTGAGTACCAGGTTGACATCATGTGAATGCATGGTAAACGAGATTATCCCACCGTATTATCGCTTACAGGAAGAAATTAAATATCATGGAGGACACATGTGGTATCAGAGCGTTTACTGGGTGGATCTTGAAAAGTTGAACTAACACCAAGAGGGCTGCCAGCCTGAGCTTATTCACAAAAGCTACAAACAGAAGAGACGGTATACTTCGTGCTTCTCAGGCCAGAAGGGTAAGAGGGTTCAGAGGGAGGGACTTCACTCGCTTGCAACAGGGACGAGTAGGGGTGGTACTGGCACCCAATCGAGCTTATTGGATCAAGGGACGTAGGTAGTGTATTAGCAAATGGCGCACAATAACACATGCATGGTACGGGGATCGAGTGCTGGGTTCATACACGCTTGGACCAGCCTTCCATCCACCGGAGTTCGATTAATGGTACCAAACACTTTTGGAAGGGGGAAACTACTGGCATGAATATCAGCTGCCCATCGCAATTTGTTGTATTCACCACTTGGGCACTAAGAAGGCCATTGCGGTTCTAAGTAGACGTCGTGAGGGGAACTGGGCAGGTGCGAATACCCAAACGGATTTGGTTGAATGAAAAGTCTTTAGTTTTCGATATAAAATCGTAGAGAAATCCATGTAAAAGTTAATCGTTCGATATAAAAGAATGCTAGCACACTCAATTTCCAATCTGTAGTAGGAACAGTGCATCCTGAACGACTGACTGACATGAATCACTACTATGTAAGAACTTTTCACAAAATCCACATCAATCTTTTGAAAATATCAAATCTGTTCGATATCAAAGCGAAATCCGAGTACTACGCCCATATAAAACACCCCAGAAGTAGATGAAGTTCTACATTGATCTCCCATCATGGAGGTCATCTGGAACGATGACGTCGTCATGACGTCACCCGGTGGGAGAACGCAAAAGAACTGATAAGAGTGCGTATTGGTGTGGGGATAGCAAGTGGGCAACAACGACGGGCGCCGCCTGAGGAAGGGCCGCGCCGCGCAGCCGACGCGACGCGGCCGGGGCAGTTGTCATCGATACGCGGCCGCTCGAGCTGGGCTTGCTGGAGAGTCGTTGGCGGTTGACTGGTTGTGAGTTAAGTTTGGTTTGGGAAAGTGGAATATTTGGGAGCGTGCACACCCAATGACAGTGTTGTAGGATGATTGCAGTAGCAAAGTCCCATGTGTTGGGAAGGATTCAAAACACATGGGGCAGCTGATTGGATTGATTGTCAACTGCCGGAATTATAAAAAGGAGTTCCTTTTCTCTGGAGCGTTCAGCGATGTGCCAAAAAAGGCTGATGTAAACTTTCTGGGAAGTGCAGTCTCAACATATTTCGTAGAAATGTTTACCCTGTTAACCTTGCTGGTGTTATAATCGTGCACTCACCCATACACTTAAATCTACGGAGCCCTGCGAAGTGAATGCTGCTGAGCAAAGGGCTAAAAATGCTAGAAGTTTTTGACTTGACTGGTTTTCATGTGCTATTTTTCGCCAACGTTTCAGAGAAGTTGTTGAGTTTAGGCGAAAATTTTGTTCCAGAAAGACTGGAATTTTGCAGGCACCCTGCTCTTTATCCCTTCCACTGTGCCGCCTTTTTGAATCCTTTCGAAAGTAAAACTCTTCCAATGACTCTTAATGTCGTCGTCGTACCCATTTCTGTATTTTACCCTATGATTTGAATCGGACGGTGGGTAGCAGTGGGAGCGGCGCCACTACAGCACTTACGGTTCAAGGATCGTTAACCCCCACGCGTTTAGACCAACCGAATCCTTAATCCCTGTAGAAACATTCGTTTAGTAACAGCTGTTTACCAGCATATCAGCTGGCTCCGTGCAAGTCATTTTACATTCCTAATATTTGTGTTTCAAAAAACACTATGTTGGAGGAAAGCATGGAATCGTGATTTATTTTATACCCTTCGTGAGAGATTTCAAACAGCTGCGACCATAACCGATGGTTCACCTCAAATGCAATCCCACAGTATCAAAAATTCCATATAATACCAAAGGCTCGCAAACCCTTTCCGGTCGTGTACTTCATGAAATTCGTGTTGTAACTCTGATGATAAATAGCAGAACCCCCTTCTGCCATTTATCATCTGAGTTACACATTTATCATTTATCTACTGAACATTGAGTCAGTGGACCCCTCACTATCGTCCTCTGCTGCCTCATCGCCTGCCTGATGTCTGTAAAATGCCTTGAGGAAGCCATCGAAAGGGTTTTCCTGATCGGGTACAGAGGTAACGGGAAACAAGCTGTGAAGAATCGACTCGTCGTGGTGTGAATGAAATGGAGAGAGTCCACAGGGATCCTATGTGACCGACAATGCTCCGCTACACTTGAAGAAAACGTGTACCTGACAGTGGTGAGGCCCACGATGCTCGGCAGCGAGCGCTTTCCTGTAGACTTTGAATAGTTAAGAACTCACAACAGTGGGCAGAATTATTTTCGAATATTTTTGTTTGCGGCTTATGCCTTGTATCGTTTAAATAGAGTCTTTACTGAGTGACTGACATGACTTCATGAGTCACAAGTTCGAGAATCATGAGCAGCACTCTCAGCCGTTGAAATTAGCATGCTCAGACAGGGCCGTCCCTTTACACTAGTGTACTAAACTAGAAAGGTGCACGTCAGGACCATCATGCAAACGCCCCTTCCCAGTTAAAGATGCGAGAGCAGCGCCTGCGATGATAGGACACGGCTGATTGTGGGAGAACGTCCGTTGCGCGTGTCCGTCGAAAGTAGGTAAAGATTTTATTCGAAGTTTTTATTATCATAGGAAGGGTAAAGCGAAGGGCACCTAACTAACTAAACCCTTTCGATGCTTCTCCGAGTCTTCGCTCGAATGACTCCTTGGTAAGAAAGTTAAGAAGATGAATTCAACCGAATTGCCATGTGTCTAGTAGAATGGTGAATATACTCGGGTCCCTCTTTAAGGATTTTCCAGTTTCCCCGGGGCTCGGACTGCGCATTCTGTCTGTACAACAGTTGTGCAGATATGGCGCTCCAATATGAGTCCTTTTTTCAGGACGACATTACACGCAACAGGACGTACGCCGCGATTTCTGTAATTTTTGATTTTCATAGGCGGTGACTGTAAAGCGTGTGTCTTGTTTGCTCCGTTTCTTCTGTTTTTTTCCTGAATTATCGTTGTGATTAGTGTCAACAGGTTCTCGAGTATGGACACTCTTGAGTGAGGCAATTGAAGTGACATGTATTGTCCGATTCTGAAAAATTATTTAAAAGTCCCAGACTCGCAGCTAAATCTACACCCCGAAAAATTAACGGGCGAGTTGTGCGCGACATTTGTCAACTTTTTGCGTCAACTGTCTAACTGAAAACCAGGCAATTCGTTGCGGGACCATAGCAGCTA